ATCGAACCCCACGAACTTCCGACTTCCGGGCAGTACCGATCCATGTTTCTTGAGGCTACCCCTTGGCATGGTTGTTGGAAAGCAGTTTGCACTTTTGCTTATTGTGGTCTAGTGGTGGAAATCCCCACTTAGCTGCTAAACTAAAAATTTTGCTCCCCTGCCAACGTCGACCAAGTTGGGTTTGAGAGGCGTTGGTTTCGACACTAACTCAAGGCACTGGGATTGTCCCAATGAGTCGGTTTCTGGTTGGCGTCCCTTGAAATCAACCCCCAACACCGCCGACCTTTGGCCAATAGCAAGCTTCCATTTGCTTAAGAGTATTTTGCATTTTCCCCTGTTGGTTTTTTACAGGGAATCTATCACTACTGGACATATGTTCTCCCTTTTTCCCCAGGGGAAGTGACTGTGGATGTCTCTTGAAAGCTGGGCTGCAAAAAATAAAATCAGGTTTCACCCTAGCAGTCTGGCACCTGTAACCCTCTTCTCAGCCGACCTTTGGCCAATAGCAAGTGGGGGCAACCTCTTGGCAGGTCCGTGGTCGCGGCGATCAACTCCGGGCCCAGCCGGGCCCACAGACTCACCAACTTGTCTGGTTGGGAGGGGTCCCCTACTAAAATAGACAAGCCAGAAGAAAGAAGCGGTACTCCCTACTACCCTTATAGCCTCTCAGCTCTGGAGGACCTAGAAACAGAAGACTCCTAACCCCCCCCTTCCCACCCCCTCCCCCAACCCCTACTCACCCACATACCCTCTTTTTCCTTACCCTTAGAACAGAATTCTCCATACCCTCCTCGCCCATTCTTGGGCTTTTTCGTTGGCGCAGAGATTGGCCTTGACCCATTTGAGCCACGTCCTCAAAAGTCAGTTCGGGCAGATGAAGCTTAGTGAGGGACGATTCCCCAACCGAAAAAAGGTGCGTATATCCGCCTTCTTAGGTTGTTTTTATATTTTTTGCATGGTTCTGGGTAGGCCATTTTGTTTGTACCGGGGTTTGATTATTCATTTAGCGGGGGCCCAGAGGTTTTGGGGTCTTTCGGTTGCCAATGTGGGTGTGGCTCAGAAGTGTAACAGCTGGAGTTACGCAGGTTTTAGTTTGCCTTGCCATTTGCCAGGGTTCCAATTTCAACTTATTTTTTGAGCCACCGATGTGAAGTGAGCTTCCATTGGCGCCAGAGACTTAACACACTGGCGCCTTTCTTTCAGAGAAATGTTCAGGCGAAAACCTGGATTGAAGTCAGGGAGAGTTCAACTCGATGTCCGCTGGCAATGGATCATGTGCCAAGTGGATTTCTCGGGCCTTCGCCCAAGTTGTCTCGTCAACCTATCAAAGTTGGTCAACGGTTTTTACTCAACTTCCCTGGCTGAGGCGCCACCAGCTGCACCGGCATGAATCGCTTCGGCTGGAAGCGTTCAGTTCCTGGAGTCTCCATTCAACATCTGCAACTTCAAGCTATAATTGGCAAGCGCCCCTTTCGGCGAAGCCAAAACACGGCGTTCCTTTTGGCACAAAGACAACAGAAGTTTTCAGCCGAAGTTCCGAAGACACGGAAAGGTTCCAATTGGTATACCTGGTATACATAGACCTCAGGTGGCACCCTTTTTCCATTTTTTGGTGGCTGCCCCACTAAAAATGGTCCAAGCCCCAAAAAAGGGTTCCCGTTTTTTCCCGTCACTGAACAACTGAGAGACGGTTTTTTGCGTTTAGCGCCAAGGATCCCGTTAAAAGAGTTCAGACTTGGCTTGACTGCTATTGGGCAACGGATCTTTAGACTTCAACTTTTCGGTTGAAATCAAGTTGGGTTTTCCGAACCAAACCCCCCCAAAAGTTGAAAACTTTTCGCAGGGGGGTCCTTGCAGCAGCAACCAAGTTGGGCAGAGCTTCTCTCGCCTTTTGCCTCGCGCCGAGGTCACAAGCCCCGCTTCGTGGCCCATGACTTCAGGCGCGGGGCTTCTTGCGGGACGGACGAAGCCGTGCACGCTGGGTGTTGAAATCAGGGCGTCATGTTTGTGGTGATTCTACATGGCAATTCGAAAAAAATGCGATGTTGCTCTCTCTTTTAAGGGTGTTTCCTGATGTGTGGTGTGTGTGTTTTTGAGGCAAAGTGGAAGGAGCGCCTTTTGGGGCTCCCCCAAAAAAAGACACAAATGGCCCAAATGGTCCAGTTTTGAGAAAGGGGCTGGCGAAGTGGGAATCTGACCTCAACATGAAACCTGAGAGGTACCTGGAAGTCGCAGTAGCATTTGCCTGGGGGTGGTTTTTTTCGGCATCTTGGGAAGCCAGCTTTTTGTTGTTGGCCTACCACCAGAAAAGGGGTCCACTCAAATATAGACACACCTACCTCTAGATGGTACATGATGTGTCCTGCTTGCCGGTGAGAAATGGATTGTAGATGTTCGGCACACGAATGGGATCCACACGGAACTCCGCGCACACACGCGGCTTCTATCCGCACGGAACAGCCCACGCCACCTAAGCATCCAACAAACAAACAAACAACCAAGCAAGCAAACTAACGAGCAAGCAAACGAGCAAACAAACAAACAAACAAACAAACAAGCAACCAAGCAGGCAAACAAGCAAACAAGCAAACTAACGAGCAAGCATACGAGCAAACAAACAAACAAACAACCAAACAAGCAAACTAACGAGCAAGCAAACGAGCAACCAAACAATCAAACGACCAAACAAGCAAACTAACGAGCAAGCAAACGAGCAACCAAACAAACAAACAAAAAACCAAACAAGCAAACTAACGAGCAAGCAAACGAGCAAACAAACAATCAAACTAACCAACTAACTAACAACCAAACAAGCAAGCTAACGAGCAAGCAACCGAGCAAACAAACAAACAACCAAACAAAGCAAACTAATGAGCAAGCAAACGAGCAACCAACCAAACAATCAAACAACCAAACAAGCAAACTAACGAGCAAGCAAACGAGCAAACAAACAAACAAACAAACAAACAAACAAACAAACAAGCAACCAAGCAGGCAAACAAGCAAACAAGCAAACAAGCAAACTAACGAGCAAGCATACGAGCAAACAAACAAACAAACAACCAAACAAGCAAACTAACGAGCAAGCAAACGAGCAACCAAACAATCAAACGACCAAACAAGCAAACTAACGAGCAAGCAAACGAGCAACCAAACAAACAAACAAAAAACCAAACAAGCAAACTAACGAGCAAGCAAACGAGCAAACAAACAATCAAACTAACCAACTAACTAACAACCAAACAAGCAAGCTAACGAGCAAGCAACCGAGCAAACAAACAAACAAACAAACAACCAAACAAAGCAAACTAATGAGCAAGCAAACGAGCAACCAAACAATCAAACAACCAAACAAGCAAACTAACGAGCAAGCAAACGAGCAAACAAACAATCAAACAAACCAACTAACTAACAACCAAACAAGCAAGCTAACGAGCAAGCAACCGAGCAAACAATCAAACAAACAAACAAACAACCAAACAAAGCAAACTAATGAGCAAGCAAACGAGCAACCAAACAATCAAACAACCAAACAAGCAAACTAACGAGCAAGCAAACGAGCAACCAAACAAACAAACAACCAAACAAGCAAACTAACGAGCAAGCAAACAAACAAACAAACAAACAAGCAACCAAACAAGTCAACCAATCAAGCAACCAAATGAGCAAGCAACCGAAGCAAAGAAACAAAGAAACAGACAAGCACAGAACCAAAACCCATACCAGTGACCCGGCCATTTCTTCACGCCGAGCGGCCTGAAAAACCAGGGATCCTGCGCTGCGCATCGCCATCGTGAGCCTTTGTGCCGGACACCCAATCGGTCGATTGGCAATGAGTTGGAAAGACGCGAAAAAACAATCTCCTATGGTTTCCTTTAGCTTGGCGTGGCTTTCTTTAAGGGAATCCCGAGTGAATCCCGGGGTTCATTGCATGAAATGAGGAAATGAGCCCAAGAAAAACCATCCCACTTGTGGTGTCCTTGAAGGGAATCCCAAAATGGCACATTCCCAACATGCGGTTCAGGTCATTCCCTGCTGAGCACCAGCCAGATTTTCGACGCAGCTTCCTTCAGAAGGGCGACGGTAGGGGACAATGTTCAAAGGAAACCAGTATCCCTGCATGATTTTGGTATCCCTGCATGAAATTAGGATCAGTCTTCGTGTTCCAGGCTTGTTTCAGGATGACACTGTGCATGTGTTAGGAGAACCCCATGCTGCTCACACCAGACTCATCATCATGATTCGGTCTCTCTCTTTTTTTCGGACGGGGCTCCGCAGCCCTTTCCTCCATTCAACATTCGCGTTGTTTTTTCCAGGAAAAGTCCAACACAAAAGGGTCCCAGGCTCTACGCTTTTCTTTTTCTTGATTTGGGTCTGTCTTTTGTTGGAGGGTAGTTGCGCCTCTTTTTTGTGGTTTCACATGGATAACAAGATGAAAACCGCAATTGTGGGGTCCCTTAAAAAGACACCCCAAATTAGACACCATCCAAAAAGTGAAACCGGCTGTCCCGACATGATGAAATTTCAGAGGAGGTTCCGAGCTCTTTGTTCGCGGACAGCAAACGGACGCCCCCTTTTTTCCTTGCACTCGCAAGGAAGATAAGTGGACTCTAGCTGCTAGAGAAGCCAACTGGTGAATTGTTTGCCAAGTTCCAAACTATCCTGTTGTTGCTATCTCACCGCGGCCACTTGATTGTTGCGGCTTCGAAGAGCCCCGGGCGGTCAGGTGCAGATTTGCGGATTTCCCATGCGCCTGCGCTCGATGTCAATGGCTCAAGGGTGTTTTGAGTCATGAGGATGGAACACTTCCCAAATATCCATCATCCCAGTTGCAACTTTGCAGTTGATGTGCAAAGATACTGAAAACCGTTCTATGCGCATGAGGCAGCATTGATGCTAGCAAACTCCTTTTTTATTGGCAAACGAGGTTTCCACTCAGTGTCCCAAGTTTCCCAGAGCGTCTTCTCGTCTATCGTCGCCAAGCGGCCGCTGATGCAGCCATGTCGCTGCCTCAATCGCTCCAGGCAGGTGGAAATCAGCGTGCCATGGGATGCGATTCCCGGAGTAGCACCGGCAAAGGGGCGAATATGCTGATAGCCATAAGACTTGGTGGCGAAGCCAGCCATCCGGTTCCTTAGCCTTTGAGCTTTTCAGTGTTTAGTGGCAGTTTCCATTTAACCCACTAAAAGTTAAACTTTTAGCGGGGGATCAGTTAGGGCAGCCCATAAGAGTTTTGTCGTTTTTTTGAGGGAAACCCCCCAAAGTGAGTGGTTTCCTTTGGTTTCCCCTTAAACAACCCCGAAAAGAGCACCCTCATTTAGAAAGATACACCCATGCGTCAAAAAACGAAACAAGAAGATAAGTTGTGGCAAATGGCGGCATCAAAGATGTTCGGCTCGATTTGATGTGGCCGCCGCATTTTGGAGAGACACCTTTTGCGAGAAGCAATGCTCACATGCAAGCGAGTGTTGGTACTGTCTGGGAAAGGTTAGGTTGGTAACTGTTGGTCATGGTGCTAAATATCAGGATTTTTGTTGACAGAGTCCGGGGGAGACGAAGATTAATTTGGACACACAATTGGAGAACTAGTTTGCCTGCTTCTTTTGGAGGGGCCAGAAACTTGTGCAAAATAAATGGTTTCCTTCAGGTAGCCTCGAAGGGGATGGTTTAGGGAATCCCTAAGGTGTGGCCCCAGGAACCCGAGTTTCCGGCTCTCAACCAGCACCCAGCCCTCTAAGAAATTCCACAAGCTTTGGAAGCGTTGGGGAGGCCAACGGCTTTGCTCATAGGGTCAGTCATTCGGTCATCCACATCTTCCATGAGGGAAAAAAAGACATGGACTCAGCCAGACGCTCATTTTCTCACCTCCCCTTTTGGTGGCAGACGAGTATGTGTAAAAATACTGGGACTTCAGAGCTTTCCTCGGAGTGAAAAGCCGAGCCTCAAACCACTTACGCGCGCACGCAAGAATCCCCGTATCCCATGAGCCCGAGCAGTTAATTGACCAACCGTAACTCGCTCGTGACTCGCTCTGGATGGTTCTCGGAAATTATCGGGGTCCCGTGTTTGAACGGCTTTCAGAGGAAACCAAGAGGATACAAAAGATGTTGGATTTCCTATTTGGTGTCCTTTTGAACCACCCTCAAAAAGGTTGCCCTCAACAAAAACACTGGTTCCATCTGTTGGGGCTGTTTCAAGGGAGAAACCAAGGGAAACTAGCCATTTTGGTGGTTCCCTTCTGTCCACACACACACCTTCCATTTGGTTAAGAATATGTTTATTTTCCCCTGTTGGTTTTAAAGGGAATCTATCACTACTGTTTTTTTCCCCATTGCACTTGAGCAAATGGAGGACACCCAGATGCACATGTCACGTGGTTTCCTTCCGCAGGACCTAGACGCCCTGAGCGCAGGGGACATCAGGCGCTTGCTGACCCGCGAGGGCGTCAGCCGCTTGTGCTGAATGGACCATAGGCCCATAGGGCTGGTTGTTTCAGCGAGCCCCAAAAAAAAATGTGGGTTTCCCTTGGGCGTGCCTTTCAAACCACCAAGCAAAGATACCCTCACAAAAAAATAGCAATATATGTGTGTTTTTGGATGTCCCCCAACGGTTTTGACCTGTTGGTTCCAGCTTGGTGCATGTTTAATCAATGTTTGAATAGTTTTGACCTGCTGGTTCCCTTTTTGGTTCATAGTCAAGTTGTGAGGTTCCAACGATTTGGCCCTTCTAGTTCCAGCTTGGTCCATTCCAGGTTTCAAAAGGTGGCACCTTTGATTCCCCGGGCTGGGAAAGTGAGATACGGCGAACAGATGTGACAGCTACATGTAAGCGTCGCAACCGGGCAGAAAGTTATGAACAGCCATGTCCACTTTGGTTTGAGGCGGAACAATTGATCATCTCGAGTGCAACATGCAAAGTCCTACCACCCTCAAACTATCTAATCTAAAAGATGAATCGCCCCAGAATTGTGGGTTGCCAAAACCCGTTTTCGAGGGAATGTGTGGGTCCAGGTAGTCCGGGCACAAAGGGGTCCGACGGTTAAGCGGTGCTCAACAAAGGAAGCCATGAACAAAGGAAGCCGTGCACACAACCAAAAAGCAGGATACCCAAAAATAGATTTAACACCTTTGTTACTACTTTATAAAAAGAGCTTCCATTGGGTGTGTGTGTTTTGCAACGGAACCCTTGTTTGGTGTACAGGGAAACCAAAGCTAGGTCCCCCAGCTAGGTGCCCCTTTCTCACCCACTTTTTTGGGGGGAGGGTTCCGATACTAAAATCGACTGCCGGAAAAAAAAAGAAAAAGGAAAAAAATATCGGGTACCAAAAAATATCACCTCTCAAATCTGGAGGACCTAGCCATGGTCAAACCAGGGGGACCTAGAAAAGGACCTAGACAAGGACCTAGCCTACTGGATCACTGGACTGACAGGGAAACCAAAAGGACCAACAGCGGGTACCAAAAATTCTAACCTACCGGAGGACCTAGAAAAGGACAACCCACTCGCTTTCATCACCGGGTCACTTCAAAAAAACCGCCTGAGGCTGCCGTGGCTGCATCGAGAAGGCGGACTTCGTGCGGCCCGGCTGAGGTCCATTTGCAGGGGTCCTTAAAAGAAATTCAGTTTGCCACCATTTGAAACATGTTGCTTTTTCAACACCAAAATAACGGGAAACCACCATTGACAAGGCAATGTTCAGGTGTATAATGTAAGGATCCCTGTTAAAAGATCGCCATTTTGCAACCATTTCTCAGTTGTTGAGTGGCACCAATATTTTTTCCTTTTTTTTGGTGGCCACTAAAAATGGTCTTCCCAAAAAAGGGATCCCTTTTTTTTCCAGGGTCACTGAACAACTGAGATTTGAAACATGGCTTTTTCCACACCAAAATAAAGGGACACCATGGGTCCAAGGGTCCAAGGGTCGGTTTCTTTACTTCTGACTCAAAATAGGGCTGTTTCAAGGGGGAAACCAAGGGACACTAGCCATGTTGGCGGTTCCCTGATGTTGACACACGCCTTCCAGTTGCTGAATGAATATTTTTTGATTTCCCCCTGTTGGTTTGAAAGGGACTCTATCACTACTGGATTTTTTCCAGGGGACTTAACAAATTGGAAGTTTACTTGTGACTCCAAAAATCGGGGGGGCCTGTTTTTGGGATGGGTTTGAAAGGGAAACTGGAGGATCTCGAGCCATTTCGGCCCCGTTTTTGGGCGAGTTTTTGAAGGGAAACCAGAGGCTTCCGAGCCATTACCCTTTGGATCCTCCAAAGAAGCAATCGTTTCAATGGAACCCCCCCCCCCCCCGTAAATTCATTCACGTTTGAGTTGGGGAAGTCTAGTGACCCCTGAAAAAATGGGAACCCCGGTTCATGTTAGAGGGGGGGGGTGTCCCTTGTTCACATGACATGGTCAAAGGACCGGTACAGGGATGGGGATTTCACCTGGTAAGGATCCTTTCTAACAGTTCTATTGATTCCTATGGCTCGCTGTTTGTGGAGGGTACCCCGCTAGAAATGGGAACCCCAGTTTATTAATAGGGGTGTGGATCACTTTATGTTGAGATGGTTTATCAATCCGTGTTTGTTTAATTCTTTGTGGAGTTGCTACCCCATGTGTTTTAGGGTGTTAAAGGGAAACCAAAAGGAAAACCACCGTTTTTGTTTTGACGGGGGGATCCCCTAAAAAAAGACAAAGCCCTAGAATGGGAATCCCAGATGTTTCTCAATTTCCATGTTGCTGGGGATTGAGGTCCATCATTCTCAATATCCATGTTTCAATGTTTCTCATTTCTCGATTTCATTGCTGGTCAATCTGTTTCTCAATTTCAATGTTCCACTGAATGTTGACCACAGATCAATCAATCCGTTCCCAGGGCACATCGAGGGTCATGATTGAGAGGCAGTAGGCGCAGTAATATCAGATGCCGATACGTGTTGGTTAGTAGGAACCCCAGAATAAGAAAAAAAAACTGGTTGTCACCTTTTAGTGGGGGTTCATCACTTTTGGTGGGGGGGTATTTACCTATGAATAGGACGGGTTCATAAATCCCGGGTCAACATCACCTAGACAGGTAGCCAATGGACCCCTATGAAAATCTGTCTTGCCAGTGAGATTAATTTGAATCCTGGACATCAGTCAAAAGGTCCAACCAAAAGTTTTTAGTCCCAAGTCTAAAATGAGTTCGCCACCTCTAGTGTCCGATTGTTGAGTTTCTCCTTGGGGTGATGCTTGAAAGGCGCAATAGGTCTGTTATCACCCCCCCCCCCCCCCGCCAACGTATTGGTTGATGGTTGCATCTACAACCGGCGTTGGTTTCGTCCTTCTTTCGCGGCTACTGCCACAACATGTATGTGGTCAGGTGTCCTTTTGGTGGCTTGGGTTGGTGGGAGCCCCTGGTTCTTGTAGAGGGTAGATGGGAAACTATCCTCAGTGGAGGGAGGCTGAACAACATGTGTTTGTGTGTGTGTGTTCTTAATTAAGGTCGTGTTCCAGCCATACAGTGGTTAATTTGAGTGGCTGGCTGGCTGGCTGGCTGGCTGGCTGGCTGGCTGGCTGGCTGGCTGGCTGGCTGGCTGGCTGGCTGGCTGGCTGGCTGGCTGGCTGGCTGGCTGGCTGGCTGGCTGGCTGGCTGGCTGGCTGGCTGGCTGGCTGTTTGGTTGAAGCGATTTGTCTGCTGTTGATTTGTTGATTTGTTTTGACGATAATTCTACTGAATTGGATTCAAGTTGATTGATGAATAAATCCATTGATTGGTTGATTGATGACTGATTAATTGACTGACTGACGGGCTGACTGATGGACCGATTCGCCTGTGCCATCAATCTCACGGAGCAAAGTCTGCACTGAGGCGACTGGCAGCAAAGACCTTGGGATTTGACGGATCCTCGATTGCAAGTGATGAAGTTCAGTGAAAGCTGCACACAGGTTTGTCAGCTGTTGAGGGTGTCATGTGAGAGTTTCGCACATGTGTTTTTTTCCAAAGGGGGGGGGGGGGGGAATCAAAATTAAACCACCAGGGGACCGCAGGTTTAGTCCATGTTTCAATTTACCAGGGTACTTTGGGTCCCTATTTTTGACCCACAGCCAGGTTTGTCCGATTTGGAAAATCGGTTCAGTGGGGTGGCATTTTTCGTGGGTTGGCAGCCTTTGTTGCCCTGCCCACTGCTCACTTCGAGTGGCCCAAAACCACGTGTCTGTGGGTCAAAACCAATGGGATCGCATTTTGAGGTGGCTGCACCACCCATTTTAGAACCTATTTTAGTGGGGATTGAATCGGATGTTCACTGGGGGTACGGGCTTTTGACCAATGGCCAGGTCTGAAACTCGACTGAAATCCGCTTGGGTCGCCGTGTCAGTTGTTGTCCAGTTCATTTTGGGGCCCCCACATGGCTGGGTCTCTTTCCAGTCAGTCGTTGTCCTTCTGCCATAGTCTCCGTTGTTCAGTGGCCCCAATTCTTTTTCCCTTTCTTTTTTGGTGGCTGCCCAACTAAAATGGTCCAAGCCCCCAAAAAAGGGTTCCCTTTTTCCAGGGTCACTGAACTGAGCAACTGGTCCCACGGGGCGGCACGGGGCGATTTGTCCCAGGCGCACCACTGGACGAGCCCCAGGAACCCGCTGAAGGTGGGTTCTTGGGCTTGGTTGAGGTTGGTCGTCCTCTTGCATCGGTTTGGGCACTCCAAAAGATGGGCTCTGGTGTAGATTGAAGTGGTATGCCAATTGTTTTACTGGAAAACAAACTGGTTTAGACTGACGTGTTATGCCCATTATCCACTGGAATCTTAGATTAAAGTTGAATGCCATCCCATTCACCATGGAATCTCGACTCGACTTTTCCGTTTTTTGGTCACAAGTTCTTTTTGGAACCGACGGAACGAGCCGGAGATGAGGTTCGCTTCCCCGGCAGGAGACACCTGGGGCGGCAAACGACACAAGCACCGTGTTTCAATCACAATGGCAGACCAGACGTCTTTGTGGATGCAAAAGGAGAACCAACAGGAAACACCAGCCATGTAGGGGGTCTTTCTGTTGAGAAGCACCATCTTGGGGTTGAGTTGATCTTGCTTCTCGTCCAAAGCCTCATGGCAAGCCCACAGAAAAATGTGCGATCTGGTCGTCCAAAAGGACACCCATGAAAGGCCCCCTGTTTAAGTACAGGCCATGGCGGTCGAGACGAGGTTCAGGAGATGGGGTCATGACCTCTCTGGAGTCATATGTCATATTCTGCTTTGCCAGACCCCACCCATTTCCCGAGTACTCCCTCTCGTGTTTTTTTTCTTCTTTTTTTATAATGGTCAGAGTGCAACTCTAAAGTGGCCTCGGACCATGTGAGAAGCAGAGATTAAGTTAGGATCCCTTGGAATCTCCTTCAAGGTGCAAAGTGCAAAATACAAACCTTGGTGGCTCACAGCCATCCGGTTCCTTAGCCTTTCAGCTTTTTAGCGTTTAGTGGCAGTTTCCATTTCATCCACTAAAAGTCAGTCACTTTTAGCCCGGGATCTGAAGGGCAACCCAGAAAAGCAAAAAAAGAAGAAACACATAGGAATAAGCCTTACAACTCACACCGAACATGTGATGCTCGATGCCTCCGAAGTGTGAAAAGTTTCTAAAGCGGCCAGACGAGCGCAGCCCCAGCTGCGCGAGCATCCGCACGGACTGGAGCGAAGAGGCACGCAGAGAGAAAGAGAACGACGCCAAGAAGGAGAAGGCGCGGGGTCCAGCTGAGATCCGTTGAACCCTGCGTGGTGCCAATTCTTGTTTCAACTGTTTTTTGGGAAGGGCCCCCCTTTAAACTCAACCAACAAAACTTTGGTGCATTTTGCCAAGGGATGTTAGGACTTTAACTTTTTGCCAACAAATGGGTTTTCCATTAAACCACTAAAAGTTATTCACTTTTAGCAGGAGAGCAGAAAGCAACCGAGTACTGAGGATGGCAAGCAACTGATTTCACAACTGTCCATGCCTCAAGTTGATGCTGGCAAGGACATCGTGCGACTGAAGGCTCTAAAACTGGACCTTTGACACCAGGGGCCTGTCTCAAGGTTCACATGATTGCCCTATTGAGACCCCTCCTTTACAGTTTTCATTGGTCACACCTCTCTCCCCTTTCTGAACCACAAGAATCCACACAGGTGCAAGCTGCCAACTCCAAGTTCTCTCCCCATTCTTGCACCACTTTAAACCAACCAACCAAACCCCCCACCAACCCAACCAACCCCCCTGCCCCCCCAACCCAACCCAACCCAACCAAAGCATTCTTTCAGCCCCCCCACCGCCCCCCCCCCCCCCCGTCACCCCGGGCCTCACCCCCTGGACTGCTCCTTCGCGCCAGGAAGCGCGCCGCAGCCGGAGCGGCGACAAGCGCCGCGCGGAGTCTCAGGTTGGACCCAGCCCAGTGGTGCCAATCGACTTCTTTCATGTTTTTTCCTTGGGAAGGGTTCCCCTTTAAACTCAACCAACAAAAAACGCAATCAACTTGTTTCATGTTTTTCCCTTGGGAAGGGTTCCCCTTTCAACTCAACCAAAAAGGTGCCCTTCTTTTTCCCCATGGAAATCCACTGGGCATCTGAGAAGCCATCAGCTGCCGAGGTGTGGAGTTGCCAGAATCTGTCGGGGGCATCTGCACAAAAAGATTGCTGGGAATGAGCACTATGCCACATAATTAACTCCCGCAGAACTCCCATCAGCCCAGATGCCAAGATTTTGGAGCCAAAGCCGCGGGTGTTTCGCATGAGCCGGCGTCAGGTAAGCAAAGTGAACGGGTCCTGATCCATCGAACTAGGGAGGGGTGCCGGATCTTAGACCGGTGCCGGTAATTGATGCTCAGATGCCAAAGCTTTTACAAACAAAAAAATTAAAAAAAAGCCGCGCGTGTTTTATATGTGCTGGCGTCACCGGCGTCAGGTAAATCATTCGACCTTCCCAGCCAGCAAAAAGCTGCGCTCAGGCCGGCGCGACGACAGCCGCGACGACAGCCCGGGCTCGCGGAAGCCCATAGCCGCTCGCGCTGGTGAGTGGGGGGTCCTTCCATTTGGGACGGCCCCTGTTCGTTGAGTCAATCAAAAACTGGAGTCCTTGGGTGAAATTCAAAAACTGGAGTCTGGAATTCCAGGGTTTCTATAGACCTCAGTTGTTGAGTGGCACCAATTATTTTCCTTTTTTTGGGTGGCTGCCCCACAGAAAATGGTCCAAGCCCCAAAAAGGGTTCCCTTTTTTTTCCAGGGTCACTGAACATGAGTAAATTGTTGCAAGGGTTTCTTATACCTCCCCACTCAAACCTGAGGCCGCAGGTCCTGGCCCAGGTTCCTTTGCAAGGGACACCCGAAGCTCAGGCTCCATTTGAATTGGCGGGAGGGTACGCTTTTGGGTCATTTGCCGGAAAGGCAAAAGGAGAACCACCAGTTTGCAGGTCTCCTTTACAGAAACACAGCCATTGTTCGGACCTTCAAATGTGGCATGTTCAATGGATCCCACCTGTTGTGACCTACGGTGTAAGTCAAAGAAAGCCCATGTCTTCTTCAAGATTTAGATACGATTTTGGTCACAAATCGTTGGGGCCCGCATGTCCCAACTTGTTCCGCCCTCACTTCTTGGGCTTCGGGACCTGAAACTGGTCACCGAACAAGTTCTCGTCTTGTTTCTACCGTTCGGGTCACTGGGTTGGCATGGTTGGACATCTAGTGAATCTAGTCCCACTTGTTTCTTGACATATAGGCTTGCAAATTTCCCCACGCTCGCCCATTTTGCATGTGAGGATGCGGAAGGGATCAGCCAAGTTTGTTCGTGAGTGACAGAGCCTTGCAGTATACAGACACAGAATAGCTGTTGCTGCTTTTGGGGCCTGAACCCCCCCCCCCTAACAAGAAAAAGCCACGCACTTGGTTGCAGACGCGTCTGCAAAGCAACAAAAACATAACTTGGGCTCCCAGCCATCCGGTTCCTTAGCCTTTTAGCCTTTTAGTGTTTAGTGGCAGTTTCCGAATTCAACCCACTAAAAGTTGAAAGCTTTGAGCGGGGGCTCAGTTTGGGCAGCCCAGATAAGGCCAATGCGCCAGGACCAGAAGGAATGGGGCTAGGCTTCAAGGATCGAGTGCGTGACCTTTCTGACAGGTGGCCTTGGAAGTGGCACACTGCATCTTTCGATTTGGCTGTGAGTCAAAAATAGGTACCCAAAATGTGCTAAAATCTACGGTCCTCTGCTGGTTTAGTTTTGACCCATACCCATTTGGGGAAGTCGAAGTTCGTTTGCCTTTGGCTTTCGACCGTTTTTGCTGAGTAAGGCATTGGCCACTTGAGTCACTACCAAAGGGGGCTGTTTTCTTCGCAGGTCGACGGCCAAAATGGCTCCAATTGTGCTGTTGGCGTCCCAGTGCACGACAGAAGGGGTAGACACATCCAGTTATTATTATTGTTGCTTGCCTTTTCAAACTTGATATGGGTATGTCAAAATTATACCACCAGGGGATTGCAGGTTTTAGTCCTTGTTTCCTTTTCGAGGGTTCTGTTTTGGGGTTACCCTATTTTTGACTCACACCCATATTGGTTGCAGGACGAAAAAAATCGACATGTGTAGCACCCTACCCATTCAGAGTCATTCCTGAGTCAGGACTGGAGCGTAGATGCTGTGCACCTTGGCTCAGCATTGGGTTGGAGCCTTTGGTTCACGTCAACTGGCTTCCAAGTCCAGTGGATGGGCGGCTCGTCTTTTCGTTCCTCTTTTTTTTCCGGAGTTGGTGTACCCCCTTTTGGTTGGTTTGTTAAGGGACATTAAGCAGAAGCCGTTGCCGTTTGGGGATCTAAAGGAAGACACGCCCAGATGCCCTCCGGGAATTCTCAGTCTCCAGCGCTGAGAAACGGAAGCTGAACATGTGTTCTAGGTCCCCCAGTGGAGCCCCTTTACCCACTTTTCGGGGGGAGGGCTCCCCTAAAATAGACTACAGAAAAACAGGGTGCCGTTATTCTAGCCTCACTTTTTGGAGGACCTAGTGTTGCCACGAGAGGTCCATATCAGCGCAATTCCAGGGTGCCACTGAGCGAGAGTTCCACTTTCGAACCAAAAGCCTTCTGAGATTCTGACTTCTGGATGTTTAAGCCGGACACTATGGACAATTTTCTGAGGGGAACGGACAAGCTCGAGTTGTTGTTTGAGACCTTTGAAACGTCACCCAGATTTGTTTGCTTTTTTACATGCCTCATGGCCTATCCATCAATCCTGAAGGGTTTCCTGTAGGGGATGTGAACAAGTCTTGGCCACATGGTACCGTATGGCACCCTCACTCTGGAACACACCAAGAACCGGCCCATGCCGCTTCCCTCACGATGCATTGGCATGAACCGAAATAATGTCTACTGAGTTCCAGGACGAGTCGTAGAATCCTACCCTCTCAGCAGTAAAATACATATATAAATATGTATGTTTGTATATATAAAAAATATGATGAACAGCATATCTTATATAACAGCATATGATATAGATAAGAAGATGGAAAAAAGGAGAAAACACAGTACATGTACATGTACATATTTATATATATATATAATAACATGACTATATCATATCATATCATTTATATGTATATATGTATATATATTATATATATATACATTCATACATCCGGTTAGTCTCCTCGAGGAAGATCACGGCGGACGACGCGGCGGCTTTGACCTTCGGCGCCGGGGGCCGCACCGTGGAGCGCATCCAGCGGGTCTCCGAGGCGGAAGTGGAGCGCCGCGGCCAGCAGCGAGGGCCGGGGGTCTGAATTTCTGGACGCCTTTTGCCCGGCCATCAACACATGAAATTGTCAATAGCAACTGGACACATTTCGAAATACTTTTTCCCGGTATGCTGGATCTGGTATGCCGGAACTAGCTTCCTGAAGTGGGTGTGGCTCAAAATTAAACAGGAGGGGCAAACCGCAGGGTTTGGTCCATGTTTCCACTTACCAGGGTTCCATTTTGGTATGGCCATGGGTCAAAACCCAAATCGTATTCGCAGTGAACATCCGATTCAACCACTAAAATAGGTAAAACTAAGTGGTGAATTCACTCCCCTAGCCCAAAATGCGACCCCATTGGTTTTGACCCACAGCCACATGGATTGGTTCCCAACTTGGGGAGCCTGGTGGTCCCGCAAAGCCAAACCGGGTTTCGCCGAGTCTGAATTTGAACCTGGAACTTGCAGGTTAGAGGTTCCCACTTCCCAGGTTCCATGTTGGGTACCAATTTGTTTGACCCACCGAAGCTTTGAACCCAGGTGGGAGCCCTTTTTCAGGATCCCCCCCCGCCCCGAAAAGGAAGAATGGGTATGGGTCAAGATTAAAGCACCTGAGGTTTTAGTGCAGGTTCCCACTTACCAGGGATCCACTTTGGGTACGTGTTTTTGACCCCTTTTCAAGATACCCCAGCCCAACAGGGTTGGTTTCAAAGCAAAAAAACAACAGTTGTTCAGTGGCCCCATTTCTTGTTTCCCCTTTTCTTTCCTTTTTCTTCGGTGGCTGCCCCACTAAACAATGGCCCAAGCCCCAAGAAAGGGTTCCCTCTTTTCTGAACAACCGAGAGGAAACCAATCGAAAATCCGTTGCGAGAAGCCCCGTTTCGAGAAACGGAGAAACACCCGTCCTTGCCGAACCAAGCAGCGGATCGGTAGGTTTTTAACAGAACAGGTGCCCTTTTTGTTTGCTTTTTTTTTCGTTGTTTTTCTCCCCCGCTGTCCACTGCTGTCACTGCCGTTTTTGCTTCTTTTTTTTTGCGTGTTGTCTATCTTTCATATATATATATATATATGTATATATATATATATATATATATATATATATATATATATATAAGTTACTGTCAATATGGGTTGCCGTTTGGAGTCATGCTTTCTCGGAGAGAGGGGAACACACCATGGTTTGTCATGTGTGTGTGTGTGTGCGTGCGTGTTTGGACTGGAGGGGTTCTGTTTTCACGGCTGGTCTTGGTGTGACCGAATCGACACTTGGACCGTTTGGAAAATTGGCTCTCCTATTGAACTTACAAAAGGTGATGGACGGTTTGCTCAGGGCGCAAGAGCCAACCAGTTTTGGAGTGGATGTTAACAGGAAACCAAAAGGGCACAAACCCTTTTTGGGGCCCTATGTCAAGACACGCCCCATTTGGGCGTTGTGTTTTCTGAGGCTCGGTATCCTTTTGGGGGTTGGCTTCAAGGAAAACCAACTGAAAACCGCTCATTTTAGGGGATTCCGGTCAGGGTGAGGGAAGGGTTCGGGCCAGAAACTGTGCGAGAGTTTGGCCCTTTTGATTCTCTTATGACTAGCAAGCGCGGGTGGGGTGGGCTATGGGTGTGGGGGGAGGGGGGGTTTGGGAGGGGAGTTTCCTGCGCAGGAGTTGTTAGAGGCCCACAACCGCCCCCCCCCCCAACCAAGGGGCCGTTCTAGTGGGTGCTTCTACCTGCAATGGACAATTCGGGCGTGTCCCTCGGTTTTGGTGGAACTGTCAAGCTTGTCCCCCCTTCTGGTCCCAATAAAGATTAGGACCCCCCGAATGTGTGGTCCCCTTGAAAACCGACCAAGACTTGGGATCCCCAACAAAAAGCAAGGGAAACCAACCCTACAAATTGTACCCCGCAAAAGCACTCGCTCATATGTGTGGTTTTGCGGCAAGATCGAGGGAATCGTTCATTCCCGGAGAAAAGCCCGAACAAATAGATGGTTCTGTGTTTTCTGGGGCATATCCCGAATACTTGGAATTGGTGAACCATTCCAAAAGGCCAAAGGGAACAAGCTGGCAGCTTGTTGGAGTTGAACGGAAACCAGCCCCTTTTCCGCCCATCCGCCCAGCCAACCCCCCCGCGTCAGCCAAGGCTCCTGGACAAGGAGCTCATCCTCGAGGTACGGGGCACCCCTCTGCAACGCCGCCGCGCCAAGCGGCTCGGCCGGTTGGACTTCCCGGTGGCTCCCCGGTCCATGCAGAGCTCCCCCAGCGATCGGTGCCAACTTCTCTCCCAGCTGTTTTTGGTTGGGAGGGGTCCCCTACTAAAATCGATATCCTGAAAAAAGAAGTTGGTACCCTTATTCCCCTGTACTGCAGGACGTAGCAGAGGTCCCGCAGCTTCCCTGCCGAAAAACCCACGGAAAAAAAAAGAAAAAAAAGAATAAGAAAACAGAAAAATTCGAAGAAAGTGCGAGAATCCAGTCATGGCCGTGGTTTCTGGGGTTTTGGTTGCCCGACCAAAAATTGTTTGGGTTCTCAGGAGTGCACCACCTCGCCCAACAATAGGTGGCAATAACCGGTGGCATTTGCTCAAAAAGAAACCTGAGGTGGAACTGGTGCCCCTTTTTCTGCCTGCAGTTCCCCCGCTAGTGGTGATTGTCCGCTTTCTTTTTTAGTGGTGTTCCCACCAAACATCGTCAACACCAACGAGGGTTTTTGTTTTACTAGGGTCGCTGAGCAACTCAACAAAGCAGGGCGTTCTTGATTTGCCCGGTAATACCAGGTGTTCCCCTGTTTCCCGGCGAAGTTTAGTTTCCTCCAAACATACAACAAACGCAAGAGCACATTGCCCGTGGAAAACAAGCAGGCAACTGGAACTCGGAAATTGATTTGAACCTCGGTGCTTTGTGGATGCTTTGAAAGGGAAGCCAGAAGGCAACCACTTTCTACGTGCAGAGAGGTTGGATTTTAGGTAAGAATTCGAGGTTGTGCTAAGTGTATGGTTGTTTTCTTCGCTCCGATTGCAGACCTCCACTGATGCTGCAAATCGCTGGTTTGTGTTGGATCCCTTCAAAACAGGAATCACCCAGGAAGAAACATGAAGCTCTCCTCACCATCAATATCAGCCATGTTGTAAGGGGGGGGGGGCTGGGAGGCAGGTTGTGACTTGGTTGCGACGTTACCCATGATTAAGTGTCTTTTTATAGGGTCCATAGTTCAGGTGAAAAGGTGGTTCATTCATGTAGGTCTTGTGAGACAATAGTTCATGTATCCGGTTTGTGTGGATGGGTTGTTTGCTACAAGTTGACTCAACATAGCCACCTGAATGAAAACAGGGAACTCGCTTGGGGGCAAACCGGATCTTCGATTCATGGTTTTGGAGGGGTAGACATCTAAGAACCTCAGACGAGACTTGGAGGGCGAGATGTCCGCAGCTCTTTGAATAGAAAACGGCCACCATTTGAGGGGCCTGGGGAATCCGAAGCGAAAAACTGCACTCGGCAGGTGAGTTGAAACGAGGCGATGGGAAAGGGGAAGGAGAACCAATAGTGCGGTCCCATTCGGAACCTCCTTTTGAGATAGCTGTGCTCTGGTGCTCTGCTGGTCATACATGTCATGGTACCTGGGCAGTGCTAATTCGGGGAGGTTGACTTCTGGCTGTGTCCTTTTGGTGAGCCTGTTTAAACATCCTCAGTTGTTCAGTGGCCCCAATTCGTTTTCCCATTTTTTTCGGTGGCTGCCCCACTAAAATGGTCTTCCCAAAAAAGGGTTCCCTTTTGTTTCTCCAGGGTCACTGAACAACTGCCCAGCACAAGCGCCTCTTCGCCTGCAAATTCATCCACTTCACCGCAGGGTATGGCCGCTTCCTGTGAGATTGCCTCTTTGTGGGGGCCAGATGAAAGTGCCCTTTTCACAGTTACTGGGTGTCCCGTCACGACCAGGGCACCAGGGCACTCAGAGGACTTGAGGCCAGATGAAAGTGAGGAACCCTTTTGGTGTGATTGGGGAAATACAAGGAAGCCTGTTGTATCCATGAGTGCGAACAGATCCGCCCAGCCTGCCTGCTCTTTGTCTTGCGTGTACGCAACCTTCTCAGGAAGTACGCCAATATCGAGTCTCAGCTGCATTTGTGCCTTCTCTGCTGCTGGCTCTTGCTCAGCCTCAACGGGCCATTAGGATCAAGCCTTGCAAAACCTAGAGCTAGCAAACTTTGTTGCGGAGCATATCTAAGACTCGACTGGTATCGCAGCTTCGTTGCACTACCGGGCCTTTGCGAAGGAACAGATCCCAGTAGATGTTTTTATACTTGGCCCGGCAAGTATAGCAGAAATCATGAACGAGCCATTGAATCAAGGACATGGAGAACGCCTGGTCGTTTTCGGCCGAAGCAATAGCCACCCGAGCAATCTTAATCCGTAATATGTCACATGCAGTTGCTGGACATCTTCACAGCAGCTGCTTGTGGATCTCTGCTGACTGTGAAAGAAAGTTGCTTCTGGCACGGCAGATATTGGCCGAATGGGCCCACAACCGTGAAGTGAGGCAAAGGCACAGATTGCTGCAGGGGACCCCACCCCCCAAAAAAGAAGAAGTGGTTTTCCTTCCGGTGTCCCTTTAAAACTACCCCAACAAGGGGCACACCCTCAAGACAGACACACCCACATCTGAGCCACAATCCAAGCCCCGGTAGATAAACTCTTGTCAGGGACAATCCCGTCATGTTTGTGGGTAGACCATTTTAATCCCAGGTTTTGATGGATGTCCAGTGTACCAATATCGGTCCATGGGTGACTATTGAAGTCTTCTTCGTTTGACCCGCGATGTTAGTACGGCAACCGGGCCTTTTCGGGGCAAGCGACGCGACTTTGCCCGAGATCATGAAGCAGCGGATGGGCGGGGGCCTTAGCACAGTGAAAGTTGGAGTCGAAACGAGAAATCGCCAGCGGGTCCCTCAACTTGCTGGTGCGATAGGTAGGGAATCACAACAAGTTCGGGTTTTGGGAATGAACCGGAAGGGGTTTCCCTTACAAGAAGCCAAATCGGGATTGTTTGTCAGGGTCTTTTCCCGCCTATGGAAGCAGCAAGTTAAAAATGGTTGATTGAGGCAGGGGGAGAAAACGGGGGGAGAAAACGGGAGGGGGGAGAAACCGGGAGGGGCGAGAAAACGACCCCTGGAGACCTCGGGAAGGGACGCGGGTCTGGATTTCTGGCACTTTGAGAGGACCTTGAGCCCCACCCCCTTCCCCTTATGGTAGAGTGATAAAACGAGCGAGGTGTTGGCCACCGGATCCGATCCGATTGCCCATGTTGCCGAAAACGGGGACCAGGATTCACGTCATGCGTCAAAGCAAAGAATCATCTTGGCCATCAACAGGAGACCAACTGGAAACCAACAATTTGGAGTGCTTCTGTATCACCCCCCCCCCAAATTCGCCCGAAATGCCCTTTGTCCCGCCGATGAAGACGTTGCAAGTCTGGCCCGCACCGTACATCGTGGAGAAAGGAAGAATTGAAGCTTGCTACCTCCAGCATGTTGTACGTGAGCTTTCTTGCACCGGAAAGCACTTATGCTTTCCGAGGCTCAAGGAGGCACCAGCTGTGGCATGAAATCAAATGGCAGGCGACCATGGATGCCTAAAAGAAGGTCCCCCGCCCTAAAAGAAGGTCCCCCGCCCTTTTCCTCTCGGCGTTTATGGTTTCCCATTGCTTAGGGAATGGGCTCATTTGCTCCCAGGAAAACTTGGAGGCTGAAAGAAAGTCCCTTGTTTCTGTGTTCAAACCGAATCCACCTTTTGACCTTTTGGTTTACCCCACTTTCGGCCCCAAAAGGTGTTCACCTTTTGTTCCTGGATCCCCAAAAACCAGCTGTTTGTGTCTTCGGGGGTTTTGCCAGTGCCGTTGTTTCAACTTGTCTGTGACGCTTCCCTTCCAAAGTTGTACCAACCCGAGTGCGATGATTTGGGGGACTGGGGATAAATGGGAGGCCGCTTTAAGACTTGTGGGGCATGGCCGATCGGCAGTTGCCCGCCATTTGTGGTCGTTGTGGTTGCGTGCCTGTCTGAACTTCATGTTCACTTCAGATTCCTTTTTGCCTGTCTTTCTGTGGTCCTTTGCTTGTGTGTTGGTCTTCCCCCGTGTCTTTGGTCCTTGGCTTTTCTATTTGTGTTTCTTTGGTTTTCTTCATTTGGTCACGATTAAACCACCAGGGCACCGCAGGTTTCAATCAACTTGTTTCCTATAAAACCAACCCATTTGATGGGTGACCATCGCTTTTTTGGGCACGGCTCCTTGGACCGTTTTTCTCTCCCCGCCATCGGAATTCAAGCGTCCGATCCGAAGCATTCCTTCCATTTGCTGAAAAGATTGGTTTTTTTTCCGCAACAGTTAAAAGCTTTGGGGTCTCAGCCCAGATAGGCTCCGGGGTGGTCCGGCCCTGAGGTAAGGTTCTACGAGGGTTCCCGCAGGGTTCCATGGTGGGGACATCACTTCCCCTGCTGGATTTAAAGGGAATCACTACTGCAAACATTTCCTCATTTTTCCAGGAGGCTCAAAAGCAAATTGAGGCATGACACCCAAGAATACTGGTGACACCCATCCCCTGAATGCTGACCCGATATGTTCATCAACTCTTGCTTATAAATCGGGGGGTGGTCCTGGGGTTTAGTGGGGATTTCGTGGGGGAATCAGACCATGGCTTCGAAGACCGAGGCCCCAACATCATCACCGAGGACTTCGAGGACGGCGACCTCACGGTGCTCAGCGTCCCTCCAGACGTCGCCACTTGGGCCGCGAAAGACGCGGCCGTCTGGGCCGGAGCCAGTTCCATGCACAACTGTGTACCAGGAGTGTTTTTTTTCTTCTGCAATACACATACTATATATACATAGATGTGTGCATGTACATATTAGACAATATGTATATATATATATATATATGAATGTGGGTGTATTTGTCAAGTTTCAAGTACTCATGGTTGTGTTTTTTTGTTTGTTTGTTTTTCTGTGTATTTTCGGGGGCGGCGGTTTGAGGGCAGTGACACAAACTCATAGAGTTGAAGAGCTGTCAGTTTAGCAGCCAAGGGTGAGCATACCAGTTTGCCTCAGATTTCAAACGGTTGAGTTGACAATCATCTTCCATTTGCATTTCAGAATATGTTCCCATTTATCCTATTGATTTTTAGAGGAATCTATCACGAATGGAAACTTTACTTTTTTTCCAGGGCCTTAAGCAAATGGAGGTCGCATTTAGTTGCTGATTGATCATACCCAACCCCCTTGTTGCTTCCTCAGATTCGGAACTATATTGCAGCCGCTTTGTTGTGCGGCCATACTCACCAAGTTGCAGGCTGCCTATGAAAATTCAAATGTGCAATGGCACCTGTGTTGCCTATTTTTGTGCTGCGGGTTCCCCGCGAAAAATGCCACCAACCTCAAAAGAGTTCCCTTTTTCTACCAGGTTCACTGTGAAATGGGGTTCGGCGAGAGTGACCTGTTCACCCAGGATTTGTTGCAACACGTGGCGTCTCAAACCACCTATTTGCAACCCATTTGATGTTTGCTTGAGGTGTCCAGCCCCAAGGGCTGGACCCCTGGAGCGAACTCCTTAGACCTTGACACATTTCATTGAGACAATCCTCGATTCAACCAACAGTGTAGCCATTGCCAGGATTAAGGAATCGGGTACTTTCACAGAAGTATCTTTGACTTGCACGTAACCCGAAGCTTGGGCTACATCTGTAAACCGAAACCCCTAAGGATCGGACTCCTTTGCCTAAGCGGAAGATAGGCCTTCTCGACCGGAAACCCAAAGATGGAGAACCAAAGGCAACAAGCGCGGTCAGAAACCGAAACACGACCAGTCTTTTGCGCTTCGCTCGTTTGGGTATGTGTCAAATCAGGGGTGTGGATTCCAAAATGTTGGCTTTCCTTTGGGTCTCCCTTGAAGCGAAGGTCAAAAGGGTAGTCTCACAACAACACAGTCAAAACAAGGGACCTGCACTTTATGGCTATTGGTTGGATCTTTGGACTTCAACTTTTGGGAAACAGGTCGGATTTTCCGTCTTGGACCCACCAAAAGTGAAAGCCACTTTTTGTAGAGGGGCGTTACTTAGCAATCACCACCTAGAGTTTCCCTTTTAACCCCGCCCCCTCCCCGCGGGAAAATAAAGCCATCCCCTTTTAAGCCCCCCCCAAAACAATATTTAAAAAAAAAGGCAATCCCCTCCTCCCCCCCCCCAAGAAAAAAATATGATAAAACGCGGCGCCCGCTCATCGAGGTGGGCTACGTCCAGGGTCAGGGCGGCAGCGTGCTGCGCAGCATCGAGGAGGAATGGGGCACCCTTATGGCACCTCGGCCAAAAACTCTACACTTGGGATCTGTCAAAGATTTTCTCTGAAAAAACGCCACGAATTGGGCGCCAGGGGTTCCACCGAAATTGGGGGAGATTTAGGCTTCGATTGGTTCTGATCTAAAAATGCTTGACTTTAAAGGGAATCCCCACTCCCTCCCAACAAAATGCCTCCTTTTTTAGTAGAGGGTATAACTTATGGTACCTGGTACCCTGAAAAAGAGGGTATTTGGAGTCGGGGGTATAACTTATATTCCCACTTTTTTCTGCAAGTAGTAGTTTGGGGGTGGTTAGAGTGAGTGGTTTCCGACAACTCAAAGGCCGCTATAAAAAAGGGTATAACTTCTCACCCCACTTTTTTCGAGCCCTTTGGCAGTAGCGGACACCGCCTTCGAGTTGCCGTTCGACCTCGGCTTCGGGGCTCGACACGTTAGGTCTTCATCGACACAGACCTCTCCAAGGCCCAGCGCTTGGCGGTCTTCGGCCCCTCGGGCAGCGCTGAAGGTCCAGCTAGGTGCCCTTCTTTTCACCCCTTCGTTGGGAGGGTTGCCCTATTAAAGTGGACTACAGAAGAAAGGGTGCCCTTCTTCTAACCTCTTTACTCAAAGCGCACAACCAGCCCTCATAGGGACTTGGTTCGGAGGACCTAGGTTTAAACTTATTTTCTTTTAAAAGCAAGATGATAAGCCAAAATTAAGAATAATAATTAATATAAGGAGGACATCGATGCAAACATTAGCCACCCATTGGGGCTGTACTGAAGATACATGTGTCACACTCTTGCCTTCTTGCTGAGAATTCCTCCTAGGATGATGTAGGGAAACCGTATAAGGGCTTCCAGGAACACGGGTCCCATTTTCAAAAAAAATGAGGGATTCCCCCAATTTGAGGACACACCGACACACCGCCACCTCCCCACCCAACGGATTCGGGGTTGTTAGATTCGAAGTATCGTCCGCCCCGTCCACCCGCCCGTCCACCTTATGACAGCTGTGACAAGGCCTGTCTCGAGATAGCTATGACGAGCCTGACACTCCTGTCAGTGGCCGGACCAGGACAGCTGTGACAGGCCGAAACTTGAGCAAGCACTGAAGAGACCAGAGGATGACCACTGGCGACCACTTGGAGCTTTCCCCACTCACAGATGATTGTTTTGAGCGGAGCCTTTGTCACTTCAGCTTTGTGCTTTGTGCTTTGTGCTTTGTGGTTTGTGCTCTGAGGGCGCGCAGTCGGATTGACCTTTTGGCGCCTTGTCGTCGCAGCTTTGCCGAGAAACCGCCGCGGAGCCACCAGCCTAAAACTTCAGCTCAAGGGAGGCGAAAAGGCCCTCGGCGCAAAGCTGGGTAAGTTTTGGTCGGAAAACGCCAAACTGGCAACAAAGGGGCGCCGACCACTTGCGCCAAAGGACAGTCATGTAGCATAGAACCCAATGTCTTACAACCCATCCAACGGGTCACCCGATTTAGTACGCTTCTTTGCATGAATATGTAGATCGTCGGCGCACCCTTGAGCCCCAATCATTCCCAACCAGGAGTGCACCCACCCCCGCGCTTGACTGTGACCCAAGTGGAAGAGATGGAAGAGCCACCCTTGCCAGGAGTGAAACAGGAAGGTTCTCGAATTATAGGGGCTCCGACAAAGGGAAATGGACGGGGGTTGTGGACAGCTGGTTCTCCTCAGCATGTAGCCCGGAAGCCATACTGCTTGTGGGACTGAATTGTTGTCCATCTCCAGAAAGACATGTTGGGGAATATCAAGATGAGTTAGACCCCTCTGATTTGTTTCATGTTGGTTCCCTTGAAGAGATCAGAAGGGCCCCTCTTTGCCCCACAGCAGCGGTTGTTTCGAGCTGTCAACCCATCCGCAAGCAAAACTGAACAAAACAGGTCCTTCTGGAGATGTCGTCCATTTGGCCCCGTGAGAACACGTGTTTCCACTGATTTTCTGCCACTGTGTTGAACATAGCGCATATATGTCCATTTGTTGAAGACGATTTCTCATCTTTCAGGCTTCAATCAATGGCCTCTCAGTTTTTCTCTTGGACACCTTTTCTCTACAAGTTCGCCGGCTCTTAGGGAATGAGGAGAGTTGATCCTACCCATCCCTGTGTGTTTGTCCTGGGATATGCTTCCTTCCCGAAACAAGCAGGTCTTTTTGCCAGCTGTCGTGGGAAAAATGGTCGACCCCCTGGTAGTGGAAGGCGCCAAACTTTCTCACAAAAGGTGGCATAAAGACGCCCCTGCCCCGACAGCCCTCGGGTGAGAAAAAAATCGTCCCACGCAAATCTTGCTGAGCCGAGGCAGCATCCGGGGGCGCCGAGGCAGCGAGCTGAAGGTGCTGAGCGCGGTGGCATGGCCTGTGAGCTTGCTCGTACTGTTTTGTTTGTTTGTTTGTTTTGTTGCTTGTTTGTTTTGTGTGTTATCTGTTTGTTGTGTTTTTGGTGGTTTCTTTTTTTCATTTCTGTTTGTGATTGGTTGTTGTCATGTGTTTTTTGTTTTTTGTTGTTGAAGCTTTCATTTGCGTTTCTCAGGTAACTGCTGATTGGTGGTTTGGATTGGTTTGGAGTGGAACGGTAGGTGGGAAACCGTTTTTTTCACGCCAAAACACCAATCCAAACCACCAACTAGCGGCAAGCTGAGTTTCCGAATATGTACAATATGTGTTATTGTCCCCTGTCGATTAAGGGGAATCTATCATTACTGGAAACATATTTCTATTTTGTTCAGGGGGCTGAAGCAAATGGAAGCAAGTGAGGATTGGATTGGAGTCTTTTTCAGACCCAAAAAAGGTGATGACCTTTGGGCTGAAACAAGGTTCCTGGGAGGTTCCTAGTCCCTTTTCAGGTGGAGACCAAGATGGGCGGGTACTTCGCCTCGGTCAAGGAACCGGCAGCTCGGCGAAAACAAAAAGCCTCCAGCGCCGTTTCTCCGGTCCCTGAAATTTGACCATCAAAGTCTAAGTGATAGAGGGAAACACCCCCAGTTGCTCAGGGCTCCTTAAAAGATACATTTTGCAACCATTTGAAACATGGCTTTTTCCACCAAAATGAAGGGAAACCACTATTTACAATGCAATGTTCAGGTGTATAATGCAAGGATCCCTGTTGCTGACCCAACAAAACAGTCAAAGTCATGATCCCAGTTTCTCCTGGCCTGTTCCCCCCCTTGTTATCATCTGACAGGCGCCCCTGCAAGTGGAAAATGTGACGACTTGCCAACCCCCGGATTTCACAGGCAAGGCTAAAAACTGGAAAGGCTTCGCGTAACAACGAAGCACCCGTGAACATGGGCTCAGACACCAATAGTTGAAATCATCGGGTTTAGGGTGCAGGATTTGTTTGGAATCCGCCAGCAACTTGTAATGGGACCCCCTGGTGGATCGTGATTGGGGGGGTGTCCCCTTCAGTGAGGATTCATCACGTTTGGAGGAAACACCCACCGCAAATAAGAGGGTGTGTATCAATCACGGGTCAACATTAAATGGTGGCAATGGGTACTCTTCCACCAAGCACGTTTGTACTAGGTCTCAACGGATGAGCAAACCCCTGGTTGATCTTGATGAGGGTGCAGCCCAGTTTAGTGGGGGCTCAACACACTTTTGGGGAAGATGAACCACATTCATTGTTCAGGTTGTTGTGAGTAGACCAACCACAAGCACACTAGTTAGGGTTCACAGATTTCGTGTATTCCCTTTTTACACTTGGGAATCTATCCAAGTTTTGTTATGAGACTCGGACCTACGATATGTGGATCCTGGATCGTGGCCAACGCCTTGAATAAGCAAGTGGAAAAGGTGAGATGGATGTGGTGTCCGCAGGAAAGTGGCTGTGGGTCAAAGCCAATGGGATCGCATTTTGGGGTAGGTGCACCACCCATTTTAGAACCCATTTTAGTGGGGATTGAGATGTTCACTGGGGGGACCGGCCTTTTGACCCATGGCCAAGTCAGTGTGCGTGTTTTTGAGGGTAGTTTTTTTTCCGAGTGCAAAGGAAGCCAAAGGGGAAGCCACCCAAAATTGTGGTCCCCCTAGTTTGACACCCAACTCACTCTTCGGGTGGATGAAACATCACCTTTTGGGCCAATGTTGTTTGAATGTCCTTTTGGGTGGCTTTCTTAAGATGTTTGCTTGAGATCGTCAAGCGGCATGAGGCGTTCAGCCATCCAAACCTTGGTTTCGTGTTCGGCACTTTTAAACGGGGCGAGTGGTTTTGACACGGAACCTCAAACTGCATTTCGCCGGTGTTCCAGGGAAGCCTCCAAGAAGCCGTGACCCGGATTAGCAGCGAACAGGTGAACAGGTGAACAGTTGAAGTTGGTCTTTTGGACCAGTGAAACTATGCCAACGGCCTTCCGCACGTGAGAGAGGCTCGGATTTTTTGGCGAAGCGCCTCTCCAGAAAGCTCCGGGTCCAATCGGATTATCCAAATCCATGGGGGTCCTCAGAGGTCCTGAACCGAGACAAGTACAAGGCGGGGAGCCCGCCTGTCGGCTTGCGGCTGGCGGGCGGTGAAAGCAACGATGTGATGTTGATCATGTGAACTCACTTCCTGCGTTCGTGAGCTTTAAGCTTTTTGGGGAAGACCATTTCAGTGGCAAATGCAAAGTTTGGACTTTTTTTGGGCCATCCACTCAGCCAGTGAGTTAAAGAAGTTCCGGAAGTGGTGGCGGTCTTCTTAGCTGGGTTCCTCAAAAGGGAACTTTGAGGGAGTTGCATGCACCTAAGGTAGGGCTTGATTTTGTTTGCCTGTGAGACATGTGTGGGTTGAACGACCCTGAAAAGACGGACCCACTTCTGGCTGGCTCCCCACCAATTGTAGGACACACCGGTCTGACATCTTGTGGCATCCAACACCCCCCATAGCCGGAAGTTAATTCTGCGGCCAAAACGTATCTGTTGCCCGCGACCGCCCGGAAGCGGGTCCCCAAAACCTCAAAAAGCGTGGCAGGCACAACAAAAACGCACCCCCTTCATGGCGCGTGGCGGCTTTTCCTGGTTATATACTGCTATCATCAACACAACCTTAAATCTAAACCAGAGAAGCCAGCCTCGGACGCACTGGACAGCCAGCTCCAAGCAAACCTAAACCCTAGAAACTAAACCCTGAAAACGTAAGCCTAAACCCTAAAATGACCCTAAAAACCCTGAAAACCCAACGCCTAAACCCTGGAAACCCTCAACCTAGCAACCCTAAACCTAAACCCTAAAAGCCTGGAACCTAAACCACAAAACCCTAAGCCCTAAACCCTAAGAACCCTAAACCTGCCAACACGAACATACGGCATCATAGGACCTTGTGGGCGACACGTATGTTTCGTCAGTAATTCTGTGACCTGATGTCCAAAAGGTGGGCAAGCCATGAATCTTGAAGCAGAAGACGAGGGCTCTAACTTTGAGACCGACAAACAACTTTTCTCAGAATTCTGCAGAGCAGGTTCCCGCAAAAAGCTGTGCCAGTCTTTTTCGGGAAGCCTGTGAGAAGATTCTGCAGAGATCCGTTGCCTCGAGGCATTGTGGAGTAGAGGCCTCGGCTTGTGCAAGAAATCTGACAAGCTTCTGCGGCTGCTAGACCCTGAAACTACCCAGACAAAAAAGGGAACTCAGGCACCGTAAATTTGGGGCACCCGTCAATGTTTGACACGGGGTTTGACACACCCGTGGTTGTTCTCCTCGAGGCCGATCAACTCAATTTCTCGGCCCGTTGTCCATGTCTCTAATGGCGGGGGGGGGGGGTCAAACATCAGCTCCATCCAAACTCTCCGCACCTCACCCAGCCCATGGTGCTTCCCCAGGACTGCACTGGAACCTGGGGCACGGCCTCTTGGACCGCATGCTGATGCAAACTTCTGCAAGGCTTCCGAGGTGCACATGGGCATGTCCTTTTTTGGGATTGGTACCCCCTTTTGGGCAGGGTTGACAGGGAAGCCAAACGCAACATCGAAGCCCTACAAAAAGACGATTTACCCAAATGCAAAGCTTGCGACACTTTGAGTCACCGGCCTTGGTTTTGAAGCCCTCAGCTACTTCCGTGTGTTTTTGATGTGAAACTTGAAGCCAACAGACTGACGTTTCAGCCAACTTGGGCAGCAATCAAACTTGGGCACTGTAAAGCCTGCCTAGGTCCCCCAGTAGTGCCCTTTGACCCTTTTTTGGGGGGAGGGGTTCCCCTACTAAAATAGACTACAGAAAAAAATATGATACCCTTATTCTATCCCTCTACTGGAGGACCTAGCTGCGAGGAAATTGTTTGATTGGCCTCGAACTCGAACACGTGCCTTGGACATGAAAGGCTTGGCATCAGGAGCCAATCGTCAGCCCGCAATAAGACTATGTTTGATACCTGCAATCGAGCCCCTACGTGGTGCTTCTCAAACAATCCAGGGTAAATGAAGGTCAGTATAAGCGCCAGTCCCAACCATGGATGGTTTAAAAGGCTGCCTTTTTGCTTCTTTACCGCAGTTTTCAGTAGACCATTTTGAACAGCCAGTTGTGGTTGTTATTCTTGGACCGTGCCGACACCTCCGATTCTCCCTGGTGGCTGTGGTCCCTTTGGCCAGGGTCTGAACAGCTGGACCGGGCATCTTTTAAGTCAGAAAATGTGACGATTTGCCAACCCCCGGATTTCACAGGCAAGGCGAGAAAAACTGGAAACATGGTTGTTGTTGGGAAACATTTGAATTCCATGTTTTATCTTATGGTGGTTTAGTGGTTGAAATCCAAATCCACTGAACTGCTACAATTTGAGAATGTTTGCTCCTCTGCCAACGTCGACCAAGAGAACGGTATGTGGAACAACTTCGGCCAACACGGAAGGGACCCCCCCCCCCCTTCCCGCAACTGAGCGTATAAGTTGAGCAAAGTCGAGTACACATCAGCCCTGCTGATACCCTTTAAGGGTGTCCGATCCGAAGCGCAGCCATAGAGGGGCCCAGCAAAGCATGGCAGCCATTCGTGGGGAATCGACTGGAACGACAAAGGGAGCGAGAAGTAACAAAAACATGGGCTCGAGGCCTTCACACAATTGCTGTTGGTGGTGAAACCAGAGAACGCGTTCAGTATGATCAATCTCAAGCACTCGGATATTTGGAGCAAGACTGTGCCCAAGATTCAGGCTTCAGTTGTCAGGCACAGCAGTTTCCGACACAGAGTCAAGATGCGAGCAGTTGTTGAATTCTGGCAGTTTCTGCAGCTTCATTTACAGCAAATGGTTACACAGTGGCAGTACTGCCTTAGGGGAATTCTAATCGGTTGCGCCTTGCGGGCCCCTGAAACGATACATACTGTTGCTGCATTTTGCCAAGGGATGTTAGGACTTTAACCCACTTTTTGCCAACTAATGGATTTTCCGAATTACACCCACTAAAAGTTATTCACTTTTAGTAGGGCTTCGCAGAAAGCAGCCGAGCTTAATGCGGCCGGGGCTTTTTTTGCGCCTTGCACAGGCCGAAGGGGTCCCCACTTTCCGCCTAGATTTGAAAAAATAAAGTTAAAACACCTCCAACAAGGGTACCATCAAAAAAAAGAGCCTGCCTTGCGGGGCCCCTTAAAGGATAAGGGGTCCCAAGTCCCAAGGGCTTGCACCTTCCGGCCCGCAGGGGGTGTCATTTTTCGGCCGAGGACACCATGACCTTCCGCGACGAGGGGGAGATCTCCTATGCCCTGGGCAAGCAAGGAGGCACCAGGCAGGCGGATGGATTTCCCTCGGCCGGGAGCAACGCCAAACGCATGGGGGCTGGGGGAGAGGGAGGGGGAGCAAAAAGGCCCTAAATAAGGGCTTAAGAAGCGCTTATTTGGGCTCCCTCCCCCTCCCCCTTTTGATTTCCCCCTTAGCCGGTCAAACCGGTTTTCTTTGGAAAATCCCTGACCCGACATTTTCCCGAGCCACCGAAAAGGACCCCTTTGGTTTCTCACAAACACCCAGAAAACCTTCATAGGTGTCCTTTGTGGTGGTTTTGGTCGAAAAATAGATGGTGATTGCTGGTTTACCTGGTGGTTTCATCATCTACCAGGGCCTGTTTCTCCGCATTTCACGTCTGGCCTGGGTTGGAAGCTTACCCACGAAGCATCCTTCGTGCTGTGGGACTCAGTGCGAGCTTCGGAAGTATCATCCATGGTGCAGATAGATTGCAATGAGTGTGTCAACGACAAGTGGGCAATAGAATTGTCTAGATGTGCTTCCTTAAGATTCTTGTGGGATTTTGGCTGACGGAATGGCCAGCCACGCATGTGGACGTTGCTGCCTAGTCGTGCCGCTCCATCTTCAGTAGATGAGCGAAGTCCTCTGTGAGCCCTTGGCAATTTGCAACAAAGGTGTTGGTTGATCATGGTAGTGATGGCCCATCTAAACCTTCATAGGTGATGTTGCCCCTGGGTTCAAAAGAGATAGTTGATTTTGATCGTGGGGGTGTTCCCTTCAAGTGAGGATTCACGTTTGGAGCACCCCCAAACCCCCTATTCATAACCGGTTTATTCATCCGGGGTCAGTCAAAGTGAGATGGGCTCAGAAGTCCCGGCAAATGAATTTCCTGGGCCCTAAAAGTTGGAACAAAAGGAGATTGCTCTAGTGATGTTAGCTGCCCTCGAAATGGGTTTGTGAGCCCGGTGGTTTTGTGGTTAAGGGAGTGGGAACCATCCAGTTTTCAGAATTAGGGGGAATCCCCAAACCAACCCCAAACCACCAATGAAGGGATCTCTGGTGAATCTTTGGAGTAACCCGGTGATATTGAGGGTGTCAGTTTCGACTCGGGAGGCTGTACATGCTTCATCAAGAGGTCAATAGCCGTTAAAAAGGAAGGAGTCGGCCGTTTCGGTCCGATTGGAGATAGCTGTCAGCTCGAGATCCCTCTGGACAACGTCTCAAAATGCACAGATTTGTGTTGTGCTTCACCACCATGGGTGTGTGTTTTTTTTGCAGGCTTCCCTCAGGTGGCTTTGAAGGACAACCAAAAAAGAAAATCCTTGGGTCCGCAATTCTCAGACATTTTTTTTGTGACCTTTCACACCCGTCCAGGAAGAAGCTGGAGCGCTCCTCCGGCGCCATTGTGCAGTACGCCGCTCCCGCGGAAGAAGGGCCAACACCTCACTTGCCTCAGGGAAAAAACCCACGGAACCAGTAGGGGAGCCAGTTGGATACAGGATTCCCTCGAAATGCCTCAGTTCTTCAGTGGCCCGCTGCCCCACTAAAATGGTCCAAGCCCAAAAAAGGGTTCCTTTTTTTCCAGGGTCACTGAACAACTGAGATGCACCTTGAAGTTTGAGATGGGAATGGCGCCAATCCCCCATATCCCCTCTTTTTCTGCATCCCCGCGTGTTCGTTTGTCCAATTGCCCCTAAGCCGACCTTTGGGTTTCCCCTGGTTGGCAACCATTGTTCGTCATGGCCCCAAAAGGTAACTTACCTCTTAAAAAACACAACTTTTCAACTTTTTGGGTAACATGGGCTATATATCTGCAAAAGATTAACTTCCCCAGGGCTTGGAGTTTTAAGGGGTAAGGTAAGCCTTTTCTGTCACTGAGATGGGCAGCCGAGGTAGTCATCAGA